GCTTAGTAGGGTTCACATCAACATTCACGGTTCATAGGACAAGGTTCAACTCTTTGCAAAGGTTCTGTGAGCCAGAGGTACCTCAATAGACGGCTTAGAGGCCAGGGGACGGATTCTCAAGCTCGTTAAGGCGCCATATATCCTTAAGGCGCCTTAACTTACGGCTGAGCGATCTTACCTTTCTCAGCACATTCAAGGGAACAAGGGAACTTAAAATGCAAAACTAGTAAGACCGATAATAATGATAATCACAAGAGAATATATATATGCACATCATGATTAAGTAAATTAGTGCCAGAAAATGTCACCCAACTCCTAACTATGGCAAATAAAGAGATGAAAAAGGCTCATTCCGGCTGGGTACTCTCAGGAAAGCTCCACTCTTTGTAAGGGGTAGTGACCACACCAAGGCTGTGATCTTTTTCCCTAACATGGGTCGTCAGGGTGTTGGGGAGTGACGTCACAGATTGCTGATTGGCCAGCGGGTATACCGCTGCCAGGCGCAAAAAGTGCGGTGAAACTGTCCTATACCTCAGTCAATATGGCATAGGCAGATCCATTCATAAATTTATATAGGGTGACTATATTCATTGGTTTATGCGCCTACAAAGAATTGGTAACAAAACAGGTAATCAAACCAAACATGATAAATGTATATCAAGAGGTTGTATACGAAAGCAGGTCCGAAGACACAATATCTTGATCAACCTATCACAAAATATTAGAAACATCTCTAATCTTATTACCTTCAAAAGGAAATTGCATGAGCATCTTTTGAATTGTCAATGAAATCAAATAATTAAATGCAAAGTCAGACCATGCACCTCTATGATGTGGCCAATTCATTTGATCTTGATTTATAATTCCCCTACGAATGAACTTGATATTATCTATATATATATTGTATTATTGCACACCGTCACCGCCTAGGAACAAAGAACCATCGCAAATAATGGAATTAAGTGTTTTGACTTTGTCTCTTTTCTCCTCCTTCCCTTACCCCCCCCTCTCTCTGACTGTCTGTCTGTCTGTCTGTCTGTCTGTCTGTCTCTCTCTCTCTCTCTCCTCTCTTCTCCCTCCCTCCCTCCCCCCCTCTCTCTCCTTCTTTCTCTCTCTATTTAATCATCAATAATTCTGTATATTTATTCTACGCATATTTTCACTTTATCAAGTAATTACATGCAAGGCATTTTGACTCGTGATAGAAAGAAATATGCTTTCATGGCACCTCGCGCGGTATCATTGTTTTCGAGCATTGATACTCTCATTCATTCGGTGTCTGAATGCAATCATATGATGAATATTCGATTTTTAAAGACCAGTCAAAATAATATTCACGGATAATCTAAAAATATAATTCCTTTGTTTTATTTTTTTATTAAATGAAAGTAGTAAGCTTTATATACACGAAGCTGAAGTCAACGGATTCTTTTCGAGACGCAGTGTTTACGCCTGGAAATGGTGCAGATTTACTTGGTGTTTTCATTTTGTAAATTGTTTTTTTCCTTGAAGTATTATTGCAAAGAGATATGAAAGTTGTAAAAATACAATAAGCACTGGTGATTGTTGCCTGTTTAGCGATTCATTTCCTGCATTAATTAAAAATAATCTATTCTAACTGGCATCTGACCTATAACGCTTAGTGAAGGGCCCTGGGGAAGAAACACGCTCACGCATGCGCAGAAGCAAGGGGGCGGAGCTTGTTCTCGACCAGGTGATGAGCTCCGCCTCTGCAACAGGAACAACGAAGGGAAGGGCAAGAAAACACACGAATATATCGTGTGTTTTCTTGCCCTTCCCTTCGTTGTTCCTGTTGCAATTTATTCAACATGAATTCCACACATGTGTTCTTCAAAAACAATGGCGAGGAGCTCCGCCTCTATAAACGATGACGTCATGAGCCCATAACATCCGGCAAACCCCGTCGCGCCAGAGAATTACCCCAGACGTCCCAGTTAAATTACAAAGGAGATGACGCCCTCAGTATCGTGTGTTTTCTTGCCCTTCCCTTCGTTGTTCCTGTTGCAATTTATTCAACATGAATTATTATCCAGACTTGTTGAAATGCAATTGTATAGCCTATACTCGAGGATATGTGAATGGGACTACGTGACGTCATCATATTAATGCCAAGAACCGCTATAAAGATATCTGTTTTCATGTATATTTCGGTTATTTCAAAGTAAACAGAAAACCTTAGCTTTTATTTCCTCTAAATAAGCGTCACATGCCAATAACAACCCTCAGATAATACTTTTTCACTACAGAAACTAATGGAATTTTTTACCTTCTGTTTTATATTTTCGTTGTCACTACTGCGTGGATCACACTCCAAAGCGATTTTGTTTACATATTTCATATATGATGTATTGAATGCAAGAAAAGTTAATAGTATATTCTATATATCAGCCTATGATATATAAACAATTATCCTGTCATTTCTGGTATCTATCCTCTACCAACTAGGACGTCATACCCTACCGGCCTGACGTCATACCCTACCGGCCTGACGTCATACCCGACCAATCCGTCATTACTACCTCATCGCTACGTCATAGGGTACTGTAAGAGCAGAAGGTATTACCGGATTATTACTGGTACATTGCTTAAATGAAAGAAAAGGAGTCATAAAAGAGTTGTCATTAAGTAAAATATAACCACTAACCACAAAAGATCATAAATAAAGTTTAAACAATATAGAACAGAATAAAAAGGTGCATGTACTAGACTCGACTTTTAACAAATAACATAAAAGCAAAAGGGAAACAAAAGTCTCGGGTGAAAGGGACATAAAATAACAAAATAAACCGTAAACAGAAAACATAAAAATATGGGAAGTAGCCAGCTGCATAAATGAAATACGAGACAAAAGCGGTCACAGCTAAAGCCTAAGGGAACGCCTAATGTAAACAAACATGTAAACAAAGGATTGCCTGCTAGTATTTAGAATAAAATTGAAAGATTCGATAAAAAAAAAAAAATTTCGTAAAAATCTAAGGCTATGCGGCTGACAACCTACACAAAATCAACCAAAAAGAAGTGTCCAAAATAAAAAATTAAGATCAACAAGGCAGCATAGGGCGTGAGCTGTGTGATACAACAAATCAGTGCAAGCCTCAAGAGTACTAATAAGAACAAAAACGGAACAGAACAAACGATAAAACTACCGAAATCACGAAACAAAGTACAATAAAACAAATAATAGCCATACGGATACCATACCCGTACCATGAGCCATCAGGAGATATCCCCCGAGTGTATATCCCCGGATATATACATGCATGTATGTATGTGCATGTGTGTAGAGTCAGACGGCAGTGTGGGTCATCGTTTGGACCTGTTGGAGAAGGACAAGGATGGACGGAAAGGATGGGAAGGATTTAGGAATCTTGGGCGAGGAGTGTAAGGAAAACAAGTATGTGGGAGTTGGGGGGGGGGTGGGGGGTGAGGATGCGCGAGAGAAAGGGAGAGGATGCGCGAGAGACGGAGAGAGGATAGGTGAGGCTGTGGGCAGAAGAAGAGGCTCCCAACCTCACATCTTCATTGTCTAGTGAATAACGGGGAATGAGCCACATACATGGACGTCTGAGGGAACGAGCTTTTTGTTTTTTTGGTGATTTATTTTTAACATAATTAGGCGACAATGTATTCCTTGGTTTACGGATTCAACGCACTTGTTTTTCCCGATTTTCGATGATCAAAATAATTGAGAAATCGACTTTTCCGCTGCAGCTAATCCGATCCGAGTTGATTCCGTTGTGAACAAATTAAAAAATATTATCAGAATATTTTCATTTTCTTTATTACTGTCATGTTTAAAATTACCGCCAATTCTTAGCATAACCAACCTCTCTAAACTAAACCAAAGCAGATGTAACAAAAATGACAGCCTCGTCACCATTCGCTCTCCGGTGATGTGTACACGATTCGAAATACATCTGAAGGTGCTGAAGTCGGTCTGTATAACTTCAGCCCTGGTGTGATTGATACCATTAAATAGGGGTCCTGCTAAATAAAACAATTTAATAATATGTTCAGTTTCAAATTCTCCGATATATTATGAACCTGAAACGGAACAATGGAAGCCATGAAGAATCATATGATGTATGTACCATCACTTACAAGTTTAAGAGATGGACCATTTATTTTTATTTCTCTTTTGTTTCTAGCCTTTTGAGAAACTCATCATGCCATAGAATCAGTCGTTGTCCAAGTACAGTGTATACTAGTATTTTATCAATATACCTGCTCTCTTTTTTCTTGCCCAATACCTTCCCCAGTCAACGGTATCTGCTGTTGTCTCAAGCATAACATGCCACCTGCTGTTCTGTTTTTTTCTAGTCAGTTATACCCTCCACAATCGATGGCATCTGCCGTCTGTCTCAAAAGGCGGTTCTGTCAAAGATCATTCCTATTTGTGAGCATGTACTATAAAGTATAATATAATACAGTTAAAAGTTAAAACTGATTCCAGACGTAATGTAATTTTGCCATAGGTATTTCATTATCTTTTTCCGCCTGTTACGTTTCCAGAGATCAATAAATTGTTCTAAAAAGGTCAAAACGCCAAATTGCTATTATTATGATTTTGCTACCGCCTGTCAGAGATTTCGGAAATAAAATCCGTAAACCCAGGAATAAAATAATTGTGGCCTTAGTGATGTATTTTTTCCTTATTTTCATTATATTTGTTATTTTTGTAGTTATCATTTTTTCAGTTATCATTGTCATATGATTGTCATATTATTATTATAATGATTATTTAATTATTACCATTTTATTATCGTTATTACCATCATCTCGTTTTACTAATTTCCTTTTTACCCTTTCCTCTTACTCTCTTTATCAGC